TAGGGAAAAATGTGTGCTTCTTACTTTGTTCTTTCTTCCTGGTCCAGCTAAATCAACGCTTTAAAAATAAAAAGAACGGACCTGAAACTTTACATTGCAAGAATATACAAGTCCAGAGAATCAGTCAGTAACAAAGAAAGAATTGACATAAATATTTTGGAATACTTGATGTTTCATTTTGTTTCCATTTATTCTTTTAGAGCAAAACTTTTCGTAATGTTGGACTCTGAAACCATCATTGAATTATTCCTAATGGTACACTCGGGAGAGAGACACCGTGTGTCCCAGTGACCGTGTAACTCTCAGCCGGTCCCTTGAACGTCTGCTGATACCCGTGGGAGCGCTTCCAGCCGCAGCTAGCAGGAGCAGCTGGACGGTGAGAGCTCCGTAGAGGGGTGGTCAACGGCGGTGAGCAGGCAGGAGGTTCTGCTAACTCTGCTTTACTTTCCCAAGAAAAAGTGAGGCTTTGTAGCGTAGTCCTCCAGACAGATGCCCGCGTGTGCCTGCCACTACTCGCAGGGTCTTCTGGCCTCGCGGGGAACACGCGAAGGGTGTTGTGCAGCAAGTTGTTATGGTGTTTGGCTTTTCCTACAGCTGCCAACATGTGGAGCGCACCGGGGTCCGTCTCGGCGTTTCTGATGCTGGTTGTCACCACCGTGCACACGGGAGTGAAGGTGACCCCAGCTGTGAAGTACACGAAGACGAAGCCCTTGCAGCTGGTGGGCGACGGTGCCGCTCACACCCTGCCCAGCCATCTCGCGGGGAAAAGCCCCTTCCCGGCAGCACCGGGCAGAGCCGAGCCACCCACCCCGAGCCCTGCGGCCCGAGGGGCCACCACGCTATTCCCCTTCGAGAACTACACACTTCGAGAACTACACACTGGACACAGCCGATTTCTTCTTCAACTGCTGTGACTGCTGCCCACCTGCCGCGGGGCCCCGGGGCCAGCCAGGGGAGCAGGGACCCCCAGGTACCGTGATGCCTGTCCTGTCGCTCTTGGCTAAAGCGCATAAACCGTATTGAGGAGTCTCTTGCTTTTTCTTCAAGACAGGAGCCAGCAGGACTTGTGCAGCAAGTGCTGAGTGTGATTATAACTCGTGTAAAGCCGGAGCGAAGAAGCGCGTGCTAGCCACATCCCACAAGTTATGAAACACCCGTAACAGTGGGAAAGCCCCAAAAAGGAGGTTCCTCCCCCCGACACTCACTTTGGGGAGCACGCTGGCGTGGGAGTGTGTGCGGAGGTGGCCCCATGCTATGGGCAGGTGCCCCACGTGGCTGCGCCCTGTGATGCTCCGTCCCTGTGTCTGATCCCCTGGGAGTCCCAGATTTACTTTCACACTCACTCTGACCGTGGTTTCATGACCCTCAAAACTACCTGCAAGCAGCTTTGTGTCCTTGCTGAAGGTTTAGGATAAAAGCCTCTTTTTCTTGGAATTTTTCATGCCCCTTGGAAAAGAGGAAGTTAAATAAGAAAATAATTTTGGGTTCAGATTTTAAAATAAATACTTGCTCTTGCAAGAGGCAGCTCTGCATAAAGCACCTAAATATTTTATAAGACATATTTTGTCTTTTTTTTCTACTGCTAAAATGCACCTCTATAAGGTGCCTAATTCTAATACTGCTATAACGAATAGTGCATCAGTCTGCCAAAGTTCACTTTAATAGCACTAATATTGGAGATAGAAACTATTCATCTGAGGAAAAGTGGTAAAATCAGGAAGTAATTTTCTTTTAATACAAGGTACTCGAGGTATTTTGACTTCCCATAGCTTGGGAGCGATTGGCTAATGGAAATTATAGTGGCTGCGGAGGGAGTTTGCGCTCATACATCTCTTGAGTGTTGGTGGAAAAGTCCTTGTGCCACATGGGTTGTGTTGTGATGACTGAAGCTGCCGTAGTCTGCTCCCAGACATGCACCAGGAGCCTCTGGATTCCCAAGTGGATGAAAAAGCAAGAAAGATTGAAGCCAGCTTGCTTGCCTTTCAACCCATCCTTTATGCAGTGCGGAGCTGTCTGTCAGGTTCCACTATTATATTTGCAGACTTAATTTTTTTTAAGGAGGGGGCAATTACGAAGCTGTGGGAGCTCCTTAAATGCGCTCGGGTATTAAAGACAGATTACTTCTGATGCTTTATGAATGTCTGGGCTCCTGTGGCTCTGAGGCAGCTGAAAGTTGGGTTTAAAAACTCTTTACAGCCAAGAGTGAAAAGAAAAACTGTAAGGTTTGGGGATGGCAGTAGCTGAAAAGCTGACCAGGAGACCTGTACCCCACTAATCCCAGCACGAGCAGTGCAGTGTTGCCCTTACGACCCCCCACGTTTCACCCCAATTTAAGGTTTGAACTGCAGTGTCTGCAGTGCTCAGGGGAGCAGGGCTCAGGCCAGACCTGTCTGTCTCATATCTTTGCCTTGGCCGTATGATGCCAAATAGAATTAGCCAGCTCTTCCCAGGGTGATGGAAACAGGGCTTCCCTTACCAGGTATCCCTCGATCCCTTACCAGGTATCCCTCGATACCTAATAATAGCTAAGCTAATGCTTAGCTATTATTGTGAGTTTTCTTTACAAAGTTGAACCTCTGAGTTATTAAGTGTCATGGTTTAACCTGGCAGTTGGCAACTAAGCACCAGACAGCCGCTCACACGCTTCTCCCCCCCTCCTTCTCCAGTGGGTTGGGGAGGAGAATGGACAAAAAGTAAAACTCGTGGGGTGAGATAAAGACAGTTTAATAAGACAACCAAGGAATGAATAATAAGAATAGCAATAATAATGAAGAATGTGCAAAACAAGCCATACACAATACAATTTTTCTCACCACTTGCCGACTGATTGCGCAGCCTGTCCCCGAGCAGCCGTAGAGGAACTTGTGGTACTCACAGATTCCTGCTCCCCAGCCAACCCCCATTTACATGCTGAGCACCATGCCTGTGGTGTGCAACATTTCCACTGCCCAGCTTGGGCTAGCTGCCTGGCTGTGCTCCCTCCCAGCTCCTGCACACCTGCTTGTTAGCTGAGTATGGTAAATTGAGGAAGGGTCCTTGATTCCCTCACAACAACTAAACCCATCAGTGTGTTATCAACATTCTTCTCATGCTAAGTCCAAAGCACAGCAGCTATCGGGAAGAAAATTAATGCTATCCCAGCCAAAGCCAGGACACTAAGATAATTTTGATGATGTGATTATGTTACAGGTCCCAAGGGGGAGAAGGGAGATGCTGGTCTGCAAGGTCTGCCAGGAACTCCAGGCCCTCAGGGTCCAAAAGGTTCTAAAGGAGAAAGAGGTAAAGTGGACTTAACTGCTCATTTTGAAAACGGGTGCCGTTGTCCTCATCAAATACAACAAAATTGTAGGAAAATACATTTTTCAAAGGAAATGGAGTGTGCTGATGTGGACTGATGTCGCTGGCATTAGAGCAGGGACAGTAACTCAGATGGTGGTAGCGTATGTGCAGGTGGTGTAGGAGCAACTGCTCGTAAAAATCTCGAAACTCCTTGTACTGGACGGGAGTTTAAAAACTGAGTTCAATTTGCTTTGGATTAGGGACAGAAGTAGGAAGAAGCCCACCATGGAAGCTACACACAGGTGTAGAAGCTGCATTTCAATAGAAGTATCTCAGTTAAAACGATTTCAGCAAAGGTGGAGAGCAGTTATTATCCACCAGTAGCAACTGAAATGAAACACTGCCCTTAGTTTCAGGCTCAGGGCAGCTCCGTCCTGCTGCCACACACCCCTGGCAGGACCCTGTGACTGCCTGTAGTCATGGAGAAATGCGCAGCAAAGCTGATAACACGGGTACCAGCAGCGTCGTGCTGTGCGGTTCAGTCAGTGCAATCTCCTCGCCTTTCATTTGCTTCTCAAACAAGACTTTCACAGAATCACAGAATCACAGAATGGTAGGTGTTGGCAGGGACCTCTGTGGGTCACCCAGTCCAACCCCGCTGCCGAAGCAGGGTCACCCAGAGCAGGCTGCACAGCACTGCGTCCAGGCGGGTCTGGAATATCTCCAGAGAAGGAGACTCCACAGCCTCCCTGGGCAGCCTGGGCCAGGGCTCCGTCACCCTCAGAGGGAAGAAGTTCTTCCTCGTGTTCAGCTGGAGCTTCCTCTGCTTCAGTTTGTGCCCATTGCCCCTTGTCCTGTCACTGGGCACCACTGGAAAGAGTCTGGCCCCGTCCTCCTGACACCCACCCTGCAGATATTT